AGCACGGGAGAAGGGAGGGCACTGGAGAGCCAGGTCACAGAAAGTGCTCCACATGCAGCATCTCTCAGGAGCAGATCACGTAGGATTTTAGTGAGGGCTTATAAATATTAATACATCACCTGCTTCAATTGCCTGCAGCTCGCAGGGGCTGTCATGCCCGGTGAGTGGGGTGACACAGAACGGGACCGCTCCTGACAAGCCTCCAGTGTTTACTTTCATGCTCTTTTGTAGGGTCGCATGGGCTTCTCCTTTAATTGGCACTCCAGGGTAAAGGCAGAGGTAACCTCATCACGGGCTGGAGAAGGTAAAGCTTCATAATCTATGTGCACCACATCCTCATGAGCTGAAAAGGGGATCTCAGGAAGGGATGCAGGTCTAAGTACGTGTGTCTGGATCTACAAGTGCTGTTGGCTACTTGAATTATTGAGGATTGCCAGCATATTACCTTGCAGTAAGTGCCTTCCTACACAGAGGAAAATGCAGCAGAAGCTGAATTTTGCTCAGTGTCAATACAGAATTTATTGCTGCCTTCATACCCCACAACACTGTTACCGGTCAGAGCCCACGCGGGGGCTACCCAGGTTACAGCTCATCCAAATGCGACTCTTCTGTACTAGAGAAATTACACTTTTAGGTAAAGGGCAATCCATTCAGCTCTGCACACCTAAAAACCCCCAGGGCTCAAAAGTGAGCTACTGTGTTTCACCTGATCCTGAAACCTTTCTTCCCACAGGGCACCCAGACTGAATTCTGCCATGGAATGTGGAACAAGCCTGCCTGGGCAGCCCTCTCCTGTCTCTGACCTGGCACAGGCGTGCACACCATGCTGGGCTTCAGGGGCTCCTAAATGAGGATGGCACAGCTCGGGAGTTGAAAATACGAGAGAAAAATAGAGAATAGCCACAAAACATGTCAACTAAGCTCACAGTGGTTCTGTAGCCATGACTCGCTCCATGAGATACTGCTGTGGTACAGCAGTAAACACACCCAACCATACCAACATTAAGGCATTTGCTTTTTAAGTCACCTCCAAGTCCTTCAGTGCAGAAAACTTGTATATAAATCACTGCTTTTCTCTAATACATCACTGCAGCACCTGCACCCCGAGGGCTCCGGCAGCCAGAGCAGGAGGGAGCTCGGTGGGACCGGCCTCTCGCAGGCGAAGGACAGAGACGCCTGAAGGGACTTGCCAAGGTCACAGAGCCAGGCTGAGCTCCATGGAAACTCGTTCCAGCACCCGCTGACCCCAGAAAGAACGGACCCTGCTGCATCATGAGGAGCTGGAGCTTTGCAGTGCGGCACCGGTGCGAGCGGTTCAGAATAACCTGAGTCAGGATGGGAGGAGAGAAGACACTGTGAGAAACGGGTATCTTGGTGATAACCTGACATCAGCTCATGTTCTGATAATCCCTGCTCCATCCCTCTTTTTCCCCAAGGGCCCACATGCACCAGGATGAGCGTGGCAGTTCAGTACTGCAGCCTGTTACACAGATGTCTTGGGACCAGAATCCAGATGTTCTCACTCTCATCTTCTCTGCTTTGTTTCTGCCTTCCTGTTTTAGCCAGATGGACCTCAGCTATTCCTTGAAGCTGTATTCAGCTTCTGATGTATTTTCCATGAGTGAAAGGGGAACTTTTTTTTCCTTCCATCAGCAATTTTCTACAGTAAATAAGAAAAGGAAATGGAAAACCTTGTAGGAAGTCCCAGGCTGCCGAGGCTTTTTAAATGGGCTCAGAGCTCAGGCAAGAGGCAGATTAATCACAAAACAGACACGTTGAACCCGTGCAGAAGATGACATTTCGGGGTAGTGTAAGGAAGAAGGATTAATTGGCTGATGGGACTGGGAACAAAAGAAGCCTGAGCATGAACCACCAGGTACAGGAGAGTCAGGCTGTGACAGCACCGAGACTATTCAACAACTTTAAGCATGAACACTGTGATCTTATTCTAATGTGCTTGCAAGAAATCGCAGATGATTAATTGGATCATTTCCATATCCTGCTCCTAAGTGAGGTACTTCAGGGAACCTGTGTTTCTGTTGCTGCCTGACCTACACTCACAGGGTGCCAGCCACTCCAAAGAGGCTTCAACATGAAAAAGTGGAGTGATGAGCAGTACATATTAAACAGACAGACAAACCAGGTAACAGCCCCTGCGTCCCCTGAAAAATATCCCACTCCTCTGGTTAACACTTACAAAATGCATGGCATGGAAATATACCCCTCATCCAACCAAAATAAATAACCAGTCACATAACAGGTTGCTGTTGACAGCAAGCAGCACTTGCCAAAGACACCGATGTCTTTTCATGCAGCGTTAGCACTCCAGGATGGTTAATCTTTGCTCAATGGTCCTTTTACCCTAAAAATCCAGGAGATAAATCACAGTGCTTTCTGCATGGGGAAACCCACACATAACACCATGGCCATCAAACCGAGACTCGGATCCCTTTGTCAGTTCCCCCCTCCCATTTGCCACAAGTGCTGCAAGGTAGAGGCAGAAGAAGACAAGGGGGCAGAGCAAAGCTGCTGTGCCTTGGGCACACCTCGCTCCTCCAGCACCGTGCAGGTCTGTTCACTGAGCAGCTGGAGCCTTCCTAATGCTTCATTACCCCCGATTACCAGCGGTGGATCTCCTTGTGTATCTTCAGCCCCAAATATTTAGTTTTCCTGGGGCTGGAAGCTGGCTCTCAGAGCACCTAAAAGCTGTTTTCCACATGTTCTGTTTCTACATAATTATAGTACCCATGAACAAGCAGAAGGAGGGGTTTCTCCTGGCTCAACCCAGGCAGGTAAGCACATGTTCGGTATCGGGCACGGAGGCAAGCCGGCAGTGGGTTTATACCTGGAGTGTGCTTAAACACCTCTTGTGTTGGGTAGCCTGCGTGTACAGTGCAGAGCTGCCTTCTCGTGGAGGTGTGTGGAGTCTCTGAGCCAGCCAGGAAGGATCGGAGCCTCAGGACTGGATCTGGAGACTGACCTGAAAGGGTTCAGCTTGTGTCGTTCTAAAAAGCTTCCCATCAGCCCATGACTTCATTTCAGTTTCCCAGCATCACTGAAGCTGCCATTGATTTACTGCTCAATTTCTGGGCAGTTTGGAGAGTGTTTCCCCAGCATAAATGCTATTTATTTGAAGTAGAAATTGAATCTGATGGGAAAATTTCTTTTAATTTGCAAAACCAGAGAAGGTAAAAGGGGCAGAGAGAAAACCCTCCTCCAACTGGCAAGTTTGTACGTCACAATGGTGCAAAAGCAGTTCCTGTTCTGATTTAAAGCAAAAACCAAAATACCTTTCCAACACATGGGAAGGACCTACCAGAGCTGCCCCAGTGTGGAGCATCATGGTCAGGATGTTCACAGAGCACATACTGATGGATGAGGGTACAGCTCAGTCAGGGGATGGTACCACAGTTGGTACCATGTACTTGCAGTGCATGACTCCAAACAAACCTATGGAGACTTTGAAAAGCTTCACAGGTACAAACAGGTATTAAACCTAACTACGCAGTCTTTCTTTCTCTTTGCTGAATTTATTTGCCATTTACCCGTGTCTGCACATTTGCATTCCTTGTTCCTGCATTATGTTTGTAATGAATTTTCATTTGTACATTGTAGAGAAACGTCTCTTTCTGTCATCACACAAATGCTGCTTCTTGTTCCCTCATGCACTAACTCAGAAGCAGACACTGTAATTTCCAAGTGTAAAAGAAAACGATGTTTTTGAAGGCTGCGTTCTCTGCAGAATAATTCAAAGTACGTCACGTTTCTTTCACTGCCGGAGCCTTGATCACTGGTTTCTTCTTTCTGCTAATCAGCTGTTACCAGTAACACTGAAATGTAGGTTCCTGGGTGAGCGTTACAAACCCAGAGAAATTGTGACCTGCATTTCCCTGGAGTTCCCTGCTGCCTGCCATTCCCAGAGGAGGAGGACAGCGCTGGCTGCTTGAAAAACATGATGGGTGCAGGAGGGGCTGGTGCACATCAACCTGGAGCAATGCTTGTGTAGGAAACACAGCAGCAGGACAGAGCTGGCCCTCAGTGACCAGCTCTGGATCCTGCTGTGCTGTGAATTGGGATGGCTTGTTCACCCAGAGCTAGGGCTGCTCTTCTGGACAGCTTCAGCCTCCCCAGTTCAAGGTAGGACTAATTATGAATAACAGGCTACACTGTCCTGTTATTGTGGGTTTTTGATTAACATGAGATATTACGCTACAGGGCCCTACAAGAAACCTGGAGAAGGGCTTTGGACAAGTGCCTGTAGGGATAGGCCAAGGGGAATGGCTTTAACCTGCCCGAGGGGAGACTGAGATGAACTCTTAGGCAAAAGCTCTTCCCTGTGAGGGTGCTGAGGCGCTGGCACAGGGTGCCCAGAGAAGCTGTGGCTGCCCCATCCCTGGCAATGCTCAAGGCCAGGTTGGACACAGGGGCTTGGAGCAAGCTGCTCTAGTGGAAGGGGTCCCTGTCCATGGCAGGGGTTGGAGCTGGAGGAGCTTTAAGGTCCCTTCAACCCAAACCAGGCTGGGATTCTATGATTCTCTGCCCCACGCAGCCCCAAGGCTGTGGGACCCCATCATCCCCGCCTGGCTGCACATCGTGTCCCTGCCGCAACCAGAGCTCTGTGCCAGCCTCCACCAGCTCACGGGCTGCAATCAGGTTAGCTGCAATCCGGTGGACCAGATTTTGGTCACCTCAAAAACAACAACATTCCCCTGCTCCCCCTCTCAGCCCTCCCACACACACATCTGCCATGCTTTAGCTGCAAAATTAAATCCCCTTTTCACTCAGCTGGCTGGAGTCAGCCCATAACTCATGAGAACAACAGTGTGAAAACAAATTAACCCCTGCAGCGAAGCAGCAGAACTTGGAGGCAGGGGAGGCTGGAGGGTCTCTCCTACAAACCCCTCAGCTTTACCTGTGCTCCACACATCCCAGCACCACCCAGCACACACGGACTGCCTCATCTGAAATGAAATGTTTCCTGCCACAGGCTAGGCGAGACTTTGATCTTCCTGGAATGCCCCGAAATGCCAGCTCCGGTGTCACTTCTCAGTTGAGCTGGCGCTTGGGTGCGTTTCCAGAGCAATAACACTCCCTTTCGGAAATTTAAGTTATTCCATCTTATTTAATTAACTGGTTTTGCTGACCCCCCTCTCTGTATTGTATTTCCACTTACCTTGTGCTTCATTAAACTTGCATGAAGCTATCCAGCCGTCAGTGCCTTGCACTCAGGATGCCAGGAACTGTTCTGACAACAGATTGGAAATCACATGTCAAGTAATAAGCAGCTTTTGCTGGGGTTATGAAGACACCTTTGTCCCATAAGGTGGTGCAATTAGCAGGGAAGCAGCCTAGGTCCTAATAGCAAGAGAGAGAGAAGGTGATAGAGAGAAACAGGGTTAAATCTGCTCAGGAGGGAAAGGGGCTGATGACAGCTCTGGGGCTGGCTGGAAAGGGAAGCAGCAGGCAAGGGGAACCGTGGCACAGCCACAGCAGGTTTAGCTCTGCACTGCTCTTTTAATCTCTGCACTGAACTGCAATCCGAGCAGCATAAAACATTTATAGATGCACCGTGCCTTCCCTATGGCACCGCGATAAAACACGCCCTCCTGCAAGTGTCCCCACACAGGTTTGATTCCAGTTGTCAGCATCCGACTGGAATTATTACCTGGATAAAGTCATCCTGAGCAGAGCCGCCAGCCCAGCCCGGGCCAGCCAGGGACCCCACAAGGGACTCGTCAATGTGCTTGAACACCATCACCTGTGCCCACATCTTTACCCCAAACAGGGATGTCAGAGAGATTTCTAGTCCATGGTGCAGGTGCTCCCTCAGGGATTAGCAAATGATGGGAAACGTGCAGCACTGCGTAGCTGCTGATGCATTCTGTGCACCACTCCCTTTTGTGAAAAACCCATCATTATTGGGCAAACTCAGCTCAGTAAAGCAGGGACTGGTGTGAGGAGGTTTAGCTGTGACGAGCCTGTTGCATCCCTAACATTTTTGGGGGAACAAAAAAATCTGATTTGAAGCGACTACATTTTAGACGCTGTTGCTCACTTCTGGTTTAAAGCAGCCCCAAGGAAAACCCAGAAGAAATTACGGTGTGATGAAACCTAAGTGGGATGCTCTGATTGAGAACTCCCATTCGTAACGCTGGATTCTGCGTCAGGAAAATTCTGAGTTTGAATTGTTCAGCGCAGCTGAGTGAGAGCAGGGCTGACATCTCCAGAACGTCCTGCCCATCTCTCCCGCCCACAGCCCGGAGCTGCTTCCAGGAATCTCTATAGGTTTATTTTTAGCTCCCCATTTTCACATAGATTCAAGTCCAGAGCATTTAAGCTCACTCCCGCTTTAGGCAAACACGTTTGGTATTCCGCTCCGGAGCGGAGGGCACACAACAGCAGGCTCTCCAGCAGGTCCCTCTGCAGAGCTCTCCTGCAGAAGGTGACTTGCCCTGCGGCTGCCCTGCTCCATTTGCAGGCGGTAGCGGTCCCTCAGGGACACCGGCTGTAGGAACGGCTTAGGAGCAAGGGTACAGCAATCCTGGGTGAAAGCCTGGCTCCACTGCAGCCATAGGAAACCCCTCAAAACCAGTGACTTTAATGGGCCTGGGATTTTGCTCTTCGCGTTAGTAGGAGAAGATAAATTTCAACACATAGATGTGAATATTAAAAATAGGGATGAGTTTTGAGCCCTTCCATAAAGCATTTTAAATGGCAAAACAAGCACACAGGCAAATCCTCCCTGGTGCACTTGCACCCAGCAAAACATGAGAGAGGACCAGCAGTCGGTGCCAGAACAAATTGGTACACAATCATCATCAACAGAAAGCATGCAGACCAACGGCAGCAGTGCCGGGAATGCAGAACGACAGATGAGTCCAACCCTGCTGCTGCTGAGCCAGGGGAGGATTAAATGACAGCCATGGCAGTGCTGTCGGAGCGGGCTGCAGGGCCCTGTCTCACACTGGCCAGCAGTGGAGCACACGTGTTGATCCCTCCCCATTTCCCAGAGCCCCAGAAAAACTCAAGGGACAAAAAATTAGGAAAGCCACCCAAATGCCCGCAGCCAATGGCCGAGGAGCTGCCCCTCATCCGCTGTGCTACCTCGTGTACATCGGGCAGGATTTGGTTGGAGATTTGATCTTTTCCTATGCTCCAAATACAGCGAAGGGGGACCCCAGAACCCCTCGTGCATCAGCTCACTTGTGTTGTTTATTCAAAACCCATCAGTCGGTGGCATTTCCTTCCATTTAGGGTTAATCGTGGCACACAGCACAGTTTATGTGGCACCCCGCTCCCCTGCACAGCACGCTTTTCAGATTCATAACATTCCCAAATTCTTGCAAATCAGTAAGATTCCAGCTCTGTTGCTCACACTTACAGCGATATCAGCAAACATCAGAGTATCTGAGAGCCCAGTCAGGATACTGTGAGGTTGGAGAAGGGAACCAGCGTTTGATGCTACACCTGGAGAAAGCTTTTTGCCAAGCAGCAGTTCCCAAAGGTGCAGCCGTCGGCTCCAGGTCTACCAGAGCAGCTGAACTCAAGCTCTGGTGAGCTGCTGCCATCAGAGCACAAAGACACGCTCTCAAAACTGTTGAGAAATGCCACACGGTGAGATGCAGTTACCTGCTTTCATCCTCACCTTCGGACACTGCGGTGACTGCACCCAGTTCTACCTCTGAGCATTCTCCTGGGGGAATCAGATATTGCCCAAGCCCCCCCTTTTAAGCTTAAATGCTATCATAACCTTGCTTTTCTTTGTAATTAACTTACAACATTTAAATAAATGATCAAGTGAGTGTTTATGCAGAACTGAGGTCCCGCATGGACACCTCTGAGGGTGTTTGGGCTATTTCTCATACCCAGAGCAGCAAGCATTGCTGTAAAGCCAAGTGTCCACAGTGGCAAGCATTGCACTGCCCTGGCAAGCCCTACGTGAGCGTGGCAGCGGGTTGCTGCGGTGCATCACACGCCAGAGGCAGGACAACCCAGAGCATCATTCAGCAGAGCCCGTGCTGGCTTCCCTTTTAATCTATGTGAAAATTGGATTTATGGGAGAGGAGTAAGAGCTATCCGAACCCGGCCCATAAAACTGGGAGAATCATATTTTTCTCTCCAGCAAGCAACTTTTAACAGCTCTGCTGGGTGCTTATTTGCAGTCACCAGGCAAAAATTTTCTCTGCTGTTTACGACCCTTTTACTCATTTCTGTGGCAGAGGGGGGTGGGTTGGAGCACGCTGCCAGTGATGCTCTAGTTACCGGGTGTTATTTGCTCCAGGGACTCTTTTGATATGTAGTCCTCTGCTGTACTAATGTCCCCATTAGTCCTGATTGCCTCTGCGGGGGGTGGTAAAGACTTCTGTAACAATGTGCCTCTGAAAATCCTCCTTGAGCCTTTGATATCTTCTTTGTGACATTACCCTCATCTTGCACAAGACAACAGTTTGACTTTGAAATTATTGCAGTTCTGTTGTTGTCATTACTTTGTACTTTACTGTGTAGCTGGATGTTCCTTATGGAGATATCAAGGGGCTGCCAAAGAACCTCCCTTTCTGTGTTCCTCATGTGCTCCTGAGCCACGGAAGTGTGGTGGCTTTAGAGGCTGAACTGAAATGAATGAAGATTTCCTGGTGAAATTCCATAAACTTCCTGTTCATGGGCAGGATGGAAATAATAAAAAGATATTATTTTTTCTCTGGGAAACAACGTAGGACTGGAAATGAAAAACTGAAAATGAGGAGCTAAAAGGCCCTCTCACACCTCTGCTGCCTGGGGAGAACAGCCCCTTTGTGAAAGGGCTTTATATCCCCTGCGATAGCATTTGCTTTAGAAGCGGGTCATAATGGCTGTCATTTTCATCAAGATTAGCCATAGAAAATAGACTTTAAAATACCCAATAAGGGAAGAAAACTTAAATGAACTTTTTTAATTTTGAAGATGACTGCAAAGGCCTGGGAGAATTCCAGGAGGATTCAGAGAAGCTGCAATGAGGTTTCTGCTGCTGTCACCAGCCATGGACAGAGCTCCCAGCAACATCAACACTTGCCAGGAAAGAGGCACGCCAGGCTTGGATTTCACCGTTTCAGTTCTGCTGTGCTCCAGTCCTGAACTGTGATTCAGGCACCTTTGTGTAACGTGCAGTTCCTGGAGCCAGACAGCAATTTGCTGTTTCTGTCTCCAGCTCCTTTGGTTCAAAGATCACTAACGTTATTTCCCATTACAGCTCATGCCTTAAAAATACAAAGCAAGGGCAAGAGCAAAGCTTGAAAGACATCCCCATGCTGGAAAGCTCAGCAGCAAACAGCACACAGACGCAACAGAGTGCACAGGTACAAAACCAAGCAGAGGGTCACCTCCGTTGTCAGTTGTTAGCAGCATTCCAACACCTAAAAGGGCAACAAGAAAGCTGGAAGGGACTTTAGACAAGGGCCTGTAGGGACAGGACAAGGGGAATGGCTTTAACCTGCCAGAGGGGAGATTGAGGTTGGAACTGGATGAGCTTTAAGCTCTCTTCCAACCCAAACTATTCCATGACATATGTAACCCAAGGCATATCCAGCCCTGAGCCCATGCGGTTTCACCGTATCATCTGCAAGAAGCCCCATCACCACCATCAGGCACCTCTCCGTGCTGGAACCACGCTTCTTGTCCCTGGGGTGAGCTGTGCACAAGAGAGGACCCAGAGAGGGACAATGGGGTGATCGAGATGCTCTTTGCTGCAAGTTCAGCCCACGTGGAGGTCCCAGGGGGAGAAAAGGCTTTTCCTGCATGAATTTGCTGTGCTGCTGGTGCTGTCGTGTTTGCGCGTTTGCAGGATGCGGATAAGAAGGGCATCAAATTTGAATGTTATGCTAATAACATCTGTGTACTTAAATCAGCACTGAGCAGCTGGTACATTTAAAACAGCCCCCAGCATGTCTGAACACTCTGTAAATACAGAGTTAGTATCTCCTGGGATCAATTTATCATTAATAAGTTATAAAAACAGGATTTGATGCACACTGAAATAAAAATCGTATCCAAAAAAGCCTGTTCTTTACTTCCATTTTCTACTCATCTTAACCCTCTGGTGTGTGAGGCCCCCTGCCAGACATTGAGTTGCACAGATGGACTTGGGATTGGCCTCATCCTGCCCAGGACATCTAAGCACAAAGCACAGCATCCTGTGACTCATGTGCAGTCAATGAGGAGATGCAGGCACCTGTAAAGGGGATATGGGCCGTGACTTCTCAGCTCAGCGCCTGACACCTCAATGTGCAGGTTAGGGCCTTGGTGTATGCTGCCAAGTGATTCACCTTTACTTAGCATGCCCAGCTTCACTAAATACGCTACAAGGACCTGCACGTCACCAACAGACTCCAGATAGCATCGGAACTTACTTTGAACACTTTGGGATGCCACCTACTGAGTTGTAAAAATTAATGATAATTACTGGGATGAAATGGATCCCTTCTCCTCTTATGCTCTGAAATAATCTGTTGTGAGCAGGCATTGGACATACATATCCTGTACTGCGCTTCTTATGCCTCCTGGATCCACAGACTGGTGACTGCTTCATTAAACACATATTTTATGCATCCTATAAGCTCAGGGAAACTGTATAATTCAGGGTACCAGCCAAGGTGTGCAGGTGGCATTTTGATTGATGCTGTGTGTATCTGTAAAACTAAGATACGCCTCTGCTTATTTGGTTGTGGTTTTTTCTCCTGCTCATCTCTTCCTGGAACACTTTTATCTCACTCCAGTAATTGCCAGCAAAACTCACAAACAGTCAAGTCCCTGAGTAAACCTTATCAGCCATGTTACACTGAACAGCACTCCCCTCCACTTCCATATGGGTCTCATCACCAAAGGCAGTCACGGGTGTCCTTGTCCTACAGGATTTGGTGCATTGGAGACACGTCCGGCAGAGGGATCCCAGAGAAGGGATTGGATTGAGGTTTTATTATGGGCCTGAGCTGTGCATGCTAGGAAAGGCAAATGCAGATGGTAATTTGTAGTTTTGTCCAGCTCCACCCTGGCTGGAACTGAGAACTGAGACATGAGCCGCGCCAAAGCCCATTGCATCGGTTTATGATCTCAAACAGCCCCAGGGGCAGGGGCTGACAGCCTCGGGAGCATAAGATCAGTTGTGCTAAATGCCAGTCCTGCCCCGCACTGACTGCGCCAGCTGCGCAGCTGCGGAAGCTCTGCCTGGGAGGCCCGCGAGATCTTTATCAGGGCAATGCAAAGCCCGGTGCTGTTTGTCTGACTGACGGTTTCCCACTCCCCACACCACGTGGAGCCCGCAAACACCCAGCAGCCGTTCCTGTAAACCTGGAGGAAGCGGCCCTGGGCAGTTTGCTGCGGCAGCTGCTGTGATTGATGGGCTGGAAGCACTGTCCTGCCTGGTGGGGAGATGGGGAGAGGTTTGTTTGGGGGTTACCCTCGCTGGGGTTACGACTGACGGCGGGTTCCAGGCTGGTTGGTTTCTTAATATTCCTGTGTGAGATGTGAAAACCTGCATTAACCCTACATGGGAACGGGGGGCAGGGTCCCTGGTTTAGCACCCGGAAGCCATGCTGAACAGAGAACGTCTCCCTTGCCTTGCGCCAGCCGCTCTCCCCTTCCCAGCAGGTGGCTTCAGTTAATGAGTCCCTAGCAAGAGCCATGCCCATCCGCTGAGCCTTGCTCTCACCACTGCAGGTTGGCCTCTCCTGACCTAAGCTCCCTACATTGCACCAGGGCTTTAAGGATTCTTGCTGACATGCAGGGACATCCCTAAGATGCGCACACTGAGAGAACCTCGGGGTGAAAACGAACAGGATAGAGAAGACGACGCGTAACTACTGGGTACATGCACAAGAACAAGTTTCCTCTCTGGTGTCTGCTGTCCCAGCCCTTCCCTCAGCGCCGACATTCCACATACCTTGTAAAATCCTGCTTTGGTCTGTAAACTCCTGTGAGGTTTTTGCTGGTCCTCCATCACTCAGGTTGTGCTCTCGTGGTTACCAGAGCCCCCAGCAGGTACAAGTAGTGCTGCTGCAGCTGCTGAAATAGCAGGAATTCTTCGCAGAACCATGGGAAGAAGGGTGGAAAATCAGCCTTTCTCCAGCAAGCTGTGAATGTGTAAATAAGCACGAGCAGTGTAATTATTTTTTCCAAGCAACACAAACAGGACATTTTCCTGGCCAGAAACAAGAAAAATTTCTTGATGCACTGGGATGCCGTATACAGGAAATTTGTTGCGTATTCGATTGCATTTAACATTTGTTGTCTCTCCTGCTCTCTCAGCTGAGCAGTGCAGCATTAGGTGGTCATCTTGATTTTTGTACTTTCTTAATCACATTTGTAAGAGATTTACCCAGTGCTCAGCCCTTCATTGACAAAACCCGACTAAACCCATCATTAGGTAGGTATCGAATGAGAGATCAACTGAAGTGATCAATAACAACCAAGTATAAAATTAAAAGCTATTTTTCCTCCATGCACCATGCAGTTTTCTGCTAACCTGCACATAACCCCTTCACTTCACACTGGTTCTGCTGGAGATGTGCGACTTTCTGCAAGGTTAGGAGATGGTTTACCTCGACAGCCGATGGGAATGAGTCCAAACCCCCCAGCCAGTAACCTTGCCCTTATCCCTTCTGTCCACAGGATATTTCTGGACTGCTCCTCAGTCGTGTCTGGCTGAACCTGCTGGATTCAGTCCATGGTGGCAGAGAGCTGCTGGGGACCGGCACTGGCAGGTAGCTGCCATCCAAGGCACCGTCTGTCCAAGCAAGAAAACGGTTAACCAGGAAGCACATCCTGTGCCTCACAGAGCTGTGCTTTGACTGAAGAACTTGACCCAAACATTAATGAGAATCAACCAAAACACATCTGTAGTTCTTGTGAGGTATAAAAATCCCAGGTTACCACAGAACAAATCACTAGGTAAAACAAAGGAGGATTGCTAACCAGTGCTTTGTGAGATAACCAAGACTTTAACTGGGTTTGGGCAGTTTTGCCAAATGCTTAAATTTAGGAACTAATTTGCATGTTGCCCATGAACAAACATTTGTGCCCATTTGGTTATTTCTCGCATTTCTGAGCAGTCAGTTCCGGCTCAGGGCACCAGTGTCGGCCAAGAGCCGCCTCCTGCAGTTACCGAGATGGTTAAATCTGGTGACAAAGAATGTGCAGAGGAAACAAAACCATTACATATGTAAATAACAGTCACTAACCCCTCTAATGTATCTGCTCCAGGAATACGCTGTGCAGGCTGCGAGGCAAGATAATGCTCCCTGCACCAGCGCAGATAGAGCCGGGCGGCAGCTTGTCCTTTTCTGGGAGAAGCAAGGGTGAACGGAAACCCAACACGTGAGCTGTTTGGGAGATGTTGGTGAGATTGTCTTGGTCTGAACGGAAGCGGTCGGAAAGGAAACAGTGCTCTTCCAGGTTTGCCTGGTGCCACTTGGGATGCTTGTGGGGCTTTTTCTGCTTCTGAGGAATTTTGTGCTTTGTCAACTGCAACTCAACCTCCTTCCACCGCCACTGCTGCAGCACCCGCTTTTACATTTAGATTCTTGGCACAAGGAACAAATAGAGCCCATTGTCACTGGTGCTCGCTGCCTTCTGCTGTGGCACCGTGCTCATTACAAGAGCGATTTAAATTTCAGATTCTGTAACTGAAACACAGAAGCCACGAGGTAAGAGCTGATTGATGAGGAACTGTCACCTGCGCATCTTGATCTCTGTGTATCCGCAGCACCAGGTAGTCATCTTCCCTGCCCCAGTGCTCAGCAGGCTCTTGCTGCTCCCCCTGAGCATAACAGTCTAAGGAGGAAAGAATGAGCAATAAATAGATACGGTTACATACAGCCTAATCCAGTTTAAGGATATGAAAAGACCCTGCCAGACACAGCAGCCTTGCTCTACACCACCTTCCTCCATAAAAATAGAAAAGGGGGCTCTGAAGGTCAGTGGCAGGAACCAGCTGATGACCAGCTACCAAGCACTGAAGTTTTATTGTATTAAGATACCCCTGCATAAACCCCCCACCCCGGGGTCAATAATCCCATCTCTCACACCCCAGCCCAGCCTCTTCCAAATGAGCAGATGAAATGGGACTTTGTTCTGCAGCACTTGGGCAAATGCAGAGCTTGAGACGCTGTCCTGCCTCCCAAATCCTCCTCCACCCCAGCATCCTCATTCCTTCCCTGACAAATTCACTGCGCTTTTAAGGTTCTCCAGATTTAACTCAATCACGTTCCCAGGGGCTGGCAGGAGAGAACAGAAATAAAGAAATCAATCACTCGATGAGAGACAGGCTTGAAGCGGCGCCAGAACTAATAGTGCCGAATTCGGGAAGGGAGCATTTCAATATTTATTAGGAAGGGATGCTTCTGGCAGATGTTTACAAGTCTGTTTCTCCCAGCGCTGCCTTCAGAAGGCTCCCGCACCTTCCCCAAGGCACAGAGGGCATTCCTTTGCAGAGCTACCTCCACGAGCCTTGCAGAGGATTGCTATCACCACTTCTGCAGTGAGATCATCCAGAGGCAGGCTGGCGCTCAGTCCATTTCAACTCCTTTTTGCCCTTCATGGACTTCGGGGTTCCACCCTTCCTCATTGCAGGTGACTACATTTTCATTGTTGAACTGCACTCAGTCACATAAAAATGACTGAGGGCAACAGGTAACCATTCATTACCATGGGAATGTGGGTTTCCTGCGCAGATAATTCAGAATTGCTTCAAACACCACATCAGGTTAAGATGTTTAATGTGGAAATGAACAGGTCAGCCCCTGGAAAGCAGGACTGAAGGTGCAACGTTGCTTAAACAAGTGCCAGCCACTTGTTTAATCTACTTGTGACAGCATTAAATATAACTTAAAATACTCGACTGTTTGTTCAATCTGGTGTCTTTAACCTCCAGTTCAATTTTAACTGTCCAAATTACTGAAGCAGGCAGTTCAGACTCAGAAACATTCATTTTTCCATCCAATCTTGGTTACCTCTTTGAGAAGCTTCCTTCAGACTTCATTAAAATCTATACACCAAAATTACCATTTTCCCCATGAAAAGCAACACCAGTGTAAATAAAACAAGTGGCAGCTCTGCCTTTCCAGCACTGTGCTGAACAGATTGACTCACATTAACCAGTTCAAGGATAATTCCACTCACCCATCAGAATGGGAACAACTCGCCCTCTAACCACGGTGAAGCACCACAGTGGAGCAGTGCTATGGGTTAGCATGGTGTGCTGGTCAACCCCATCTCCATGCCCATCCTGCTCCCACACTGGGTACCTTCAAGCTCCCATCCACTGACTCGAGTCTTATCCCATGGGATGGGTGTACATAATGTGTCTTAATGGCAACACAAAAGGATAAACTCTCACCTTGGGCTAGGAGAAAACATCCAGCCACCCCAGCATGAAGACACCATGTCCTCCAGCCTGAGTGCACAGCATACAGTTTTGTATCTGGATACTGATCCAGATATAAAACTACACCTAGATAACCTTTTCTTGAGCTAAACATACTCACCAGAAATCAAACTGGAACAAAAAGTGCATCTTCTAACATACCATGAAGAGGGAAGGAGGTCCATGGAGGAAAGGCTGGGCAGCTGCCAGAATAGTAGGCAGGGTACTGGGAAGCACTGGGCACTAGTGTTAGTTCCCACTTATCTCTGGTGCTCCATCAGTGGTTTTCTTGACCTTCAGATAAAAGCAAAGTAGTTTGATAAATAGAAGCACATGGTTTTGGCTCAGAGAAATAGCCAGAATAATTGCTTGGATCAAGAAGAGATAGCCGAAACTGCTTTCAACTAATCCCCTGCCTCTTTGTTGTTAGAAAAGGAAATTGTGCCCATGTGGTCAAGGGCCTACGGGTGCAAGCTGCATGGGGAGAAACTTCAAATAAATTTAAGGAAGAGCTTTTCTTCCCATGAGAGCAGTCGGTCACTGGAACAACTGCTCAGGGACTCTGTGGAGTCCCCAGCTGGCAGGGCATTGGAACTGGATGAGCTATAAGGGCCCTTCCAACCCAGAGCAGTCTGTGAGTTTATATTCTTGACAAGGCTGGTTTTGACATTTGGGTCTGGTAGAGCTCTTTAAAGCTCTATTTTTGAGCAGTGCCTCCAATCCCAAGGTGCTTACCACGCTGGACTTGGCACTCAGTGGAAGCCCCAAACCACAAAGCCTGACCACAGGGCTGGACCACATCCACTCGTACCCCCAGAGGAGGTGGAAAGATATCCCTTCAAGCCCCAAGGTGCTGCTGGGAGCTGCTGCCCATGTTCCTGCATCACTGGCCTCGCGCTCCAGCTACACTGGAGAGGAGAACCCCAGCAAAAGGCGTAACCCCAGTCATGTAGCTGCAGTCCATTAAACAGCCAGATGTGCCCAACATCAGGTTCCTACAGTCTATTCCATTATGGATTAAGTGGAGTCACTGAAGAGAATCATTAAGACCATTTTGGTGTCACATCACTTCCAAATGATTTACTGGAGTGTTTCCCCCCCACACGGCAGGACCTGGTCACATCTGCAGCAGCCCCTCTGCTCACCCACCGAAATCTAAATTCAAGCTGAATTTCTCATTTCCCCTGGGAACCCTAAATCAGTGCTTTTCATCACAAATCGGTTTCTAAGTGCCATCTCCCAAATAGGCATTTTAGTTTAAAAGCTGGAAACAAAAAGATGTCAATTCAAATGTTAACCCACAGTGAAAGAAAACACTGTCTCCAATATATCTTATGATCTTTCATTCATAACACTGAAATTTGAGTTCCAGCATCCATCAAAACAGCTTTTGAAATGCTGACTTGGAAGAAAAGTTTTAGTTCTGAATGGAGTCACCGAAGACCTAACGTTCAGGATATTGAACTAACACAGTGACTGCCTTTGGGAAAATGGTCTCAATGACTGGTAGAAAAAGAGTGAACATTAAGAAACCAAGAATTAACAGAGTACTTCTGTTGAAAACTAACTCCAGAGCAGACATGTTCCTATCTGGGCATAGGTGCGATTGTGCAAACCATTGTTTCGTCCAGCTTTTCTCTTGTGTGGAGAGAAAAAGTAAGCAGTTTAATCCCATTTATCCTCAGTTTCAGTGTTCAGAGCTGGATAATTAACACTGTTATATATAGCCCTCTATTTATTGGCTAAACATTAGTGTGTGAACTGGCATACTCACATGTATTGCATATCCATATGCAGACATATGGGAACGTGCAGTAAACGAAGCGTCAATCAGCTTAACATGGAAGCTGCAATGAAATTCCTGTACGTCAAATATAAAACCATTAATAAAAAGACAAGAAACGAGTCAGAGTTTAATATCAATGCCCTGAGTGCCCACAAAAAGGAAGTGTCCATTAAACCCAGCTTCATCACCATTTCTTATCAGCTGTGCTTGGTCTCAGCCAGCAGCTATTCCATTTTAAACCTGTATTTCTACCATTCTGTTGAGCACTTACTTTTATACATTCTAAACCCACTAAGCCTTATAGTGCAAGCTCTCTATGAGACAGGGCTCCAGATGTTTGCAGCAGGCTGCTTGTGTAAGAACTCACATTAGCAGAACCATTTTAAGGGCATATTCCAGCAGCGGGTTGAGGCACTGTTGTATTTCTTTACCTAAACACAGATTTTAAGGATACACACCCAGGCCCATGTGGATATGCACCACCTAAAACTGAAAGGTGTTTCTAAATAGAACAATATTACTGAAAGTGGAACCTGCCCGAATCACCCTGGCTGACTTCTGCTGGGGACCTGGCTTTGTGGAAAAACTCCCTTCACATCCCTTATATCTAGGGCATTAAATCAGTGCAAAGCTTTCTGCAAAGATCATGAGTTATTACATTTCACAAAGGACTAATGACAACCAAGTGTTGTGAATTTTAGACTTCATAAAATCTCTATAAAAGGGACAAGTTGGCAAACACTCTGATGGGAGTAGAAGGGAAGATAAAAGCTAAAAATCCCAACACACATGAGACTGATGACGTGCAACCAGCTCACACACGGTATTTGAAACAGCGGTCCCGGCTCACAGGTAGGCTTGCTATCACGTTTCACATGGGTATCACAGCAGTGCCCTGAGAGTAAGAACACAGCCCTGCCCTCGGCAACCTTCCCTTTCTTTGGGAAGCACTGCTGGGGCCTGACTTACAGGGGAATGAGCGCAGAATCGTGACGGTTTGTACAGAAACCAGAGGTCACAATTTCACATTCTGTCAAGGCATTTCCAGTCACCTCCCAGCTCCCTGGGGACGCTGTCCAGCTCCAGCTCCAGCTCCGGATCAAGGGCTCTGTGTTGTGCTCAAGTGCTCCCTCGGTCCAGCCTGCATGACACGATGCAGACGCACATGGGGACATCTCC